AGCATTATAACTACATACTCAGACCAATTTCATTTGAGTTGTGACTTTACCCGACAAATTAAAGAATCACAAAAAGATAGATAAACTCACTTAAGTTGCTTATTGCTTAGCTTACCCGTCCAACTTGAGAAGGTCAACAAGCAGTTTCGTGAAGAGTCAAACTTAAAACCTATAGTTATCAAACTAACTGATCAACTAACTCGATTTAGATCGAGCAACCCCTCTAATTATTCAAAAAGTGAAAATACATGAATAATGTGGTAGGTGAAGGGGATGAATGGAATTGAAGGTGGTCTGATCTGAATACAAAATTTAAAAACTTGTGAGTGTTAATTAGCGCCGTATGATAGCATGTGGTGTCATGAGAAAGGTAAGGCAAAATAATTTTAGTAAAAATTATTAAAGAAGTGAACGTTAGAAAGGTAGGAACGAGGGATGCCTTATACATTTACATGATTGTATATAGCAACATAGAGTACGTAGGGGTCATCTTGTGCCGGTGGTTATATCAGCTGGGCCCCTCCCCCCGGTTAACTAGGCATATGGTGAATTCATCCATGACACCATGGTCAACAACGGTGACTTTTTTGAATATATATATATATATATATATATATATATATATATATAGAAGTCGGTTCTGGTGCGGGTGTGTGCCTCAGGTGCGGGTATGGGGTTTAATCTGAGTCATTAATATTGCTTAGATCAAGGTTTAGGATTATCGAAATTTTAAAAAAAAATGCGGTGGTAATTTATTTGGTAATTTTTGCATATAAGTCAAATTTAATGTGCATAAGTTTTGTGATTAAGGTGCGTGAGATTTGTGATTAAGGTGCGTGTGTCTCATGCTTAATGTGCGTGAGTTTGTGCTTAAGGTGCGTGAATTTTGTGCTTAATATGAGTCGTTGTTAAAACTTAAAGTGCATGAGTTTTGTGCTTAATGTGCGTGAGATTTGTGATTAAGGTATGTGGATTGTGTGCTTAATGTGCGTGAGTTTGTACTTAAGGTGCCTGCGTTTTGTGCTTAGTGTGAGTAGTTGGTAAAACTAAAGTGCGTGGGTTTTGTGTTTAAGGTGCGTGAAATTTGTGCTTAATGTGCGTGGATTTTGTTTTTAATGTGCGTGAGTTTGTGCTTAATGTGAGCCATTTTAAAATCTTAAGTGAGTGGATTTTGTGCTTAACGTTTAAGGTGCGTCCAACTGCACAACAGTACGAGAAACATCACCCGCACCTGAACCCTTCCCTATATATATATATATATATATATATATATATATATATATATATATATATATAATCATAATCAGGTGAGAACCAACATTAACCTTTAAATTTGCGAACTTCTGAAAGATTGCACCGCAACTATTACGTGATTGCATGGCTACGGCTCCAAAACATGCTAGAGGACCTTGCGGTGCGATCGTATCCGAGTGCAGTGCAATTATTTAGTCAATGCAGTGCAATTTTTCAATAGTTCGCAGGTTCACACGTTAAGGTCGGTTCGCACCTAATTATGGAATGCATGTTGAGGTTAATACTCAAGTATGCATTAAGTAAATTCCGTGATATGACTTTGCGTTGCTCACAAGGAGGTTAAATTAGTTAACCAGCTCAAATCAAGAATGTCAATAAGCCATCGCTAATCAGACTTTTAATCTTGTATGTAGTTACCAAGTCAGCAGTTTAATCAATTTGATTGAGATTGTTCGGAAAAAAGTGGTTAAAATTTCTGACTACTTTGATGGTTTAGAAGTTAGAACTATGATTTATTTTAATAAGAGTAAATACCTAAAAAATGGTCCCTCGACTATAGCTAAATTCACAAATTGGTCCTCGACTTTCAATTTCAACCAATTAAGTCCTTAACTTTGCAATTTTGACACGATTTGGTCCTCCATCTATTTGACCATTTGTTGACTGTGATCGACGATCTCCAGAAGAACCTTCAGCTCTCGTCGGAGCACGTGGAGGCCTCCAGGATGACGTTGCACTAGTTCGGAAACACGTCGTCTTCTTCGCTCTGGTACAAACTCAACTACATTGAATCCAAATGGAGGATGAAGAAAGGCGACCGGATTTGTAGATTGCTTTCAGCAGTGGATTCAAATGTAACAGTGCAGTCTGGAAATGCAACCGGAACCTTAAAAACCCCGACGATGGACCATGAAATTACATATATATCCTCAAAAATCACAGTCAACAAACAGTCAAATAGATAGAGGACCAAATTGTGTTAAAATTGCAAAATTAAGAACTTAATTGGTTAAAATTGAAAGTCGAGGACCAATTTGTGAATTTAACTATAGTCAAGAGACTATTTTGGATATTTACTCTTTTAATAATAAGGTTCCCAACTTTTCCAAGTTCCAACCACTGCACCTTTGATGGGTGGTCAAAAAATTTTGTAATTTTAGTTTAGAAAAGTGATCGGCAATTAATAAATTTTAATTCATGAATATACTTTGGAGAGCCTAAATTGGCAAATCTAATGGAAGATAGATGATGAGGAAATGTGTGATGGGATATAATATTCCAATTGAAATTGATGAACATACAACACAATTGTCACGTTTCTTTTGTTACACAAAATGTCATGCATGAAGAGATGGTTCATCTAATGGCCGGCTAAAGCTCACCACACAAAATGATGATGACATGTTAATATGTTATATTATTGTTAGTGTCTTAAATACTTGGGATTCATTCAAAGGTGATTATAGGTAAATATTACTCACTTGATAATTCTTTCAAGGCATTAGTTATACCCGAAAATGTTATTCTACTTGAGAACATGTTTAGTTTTAAGGTGATTGCATTCTTAAAACTCAAACTCATCAAAACATTTGATTAAACTGAAAAAGACACACGCTATCTTATCCATACTCAGATGGGATTACCGTTACTCAAAATGGTAAAAGCCCAAAGCAGAGTAGTTTTTATGGCAGTCCAAACCCTAGGATACCCCTTCATCAGTAGCTTATATTATGAAATAAAGTCCAAGCAAGAAAGCAAAGTTTACTGTACAATTCATTAAGTATTCTGAGAGAATTATTGCTGAATGCCCATTGCAGGTTATTTTACTCCCAGGTAGAGATCTCAGTCATTAAATAATTTGCTCCAGTACAAAAAAAAAAATCTGCAATTCACCCATTGCATGCAGTTAAAAAAGATCACATACAGTAAAAAGTATTAAAAAAAAAATACCCTCCATAATTTATCCAGAAGAGAATTGATCGGGATTTACCCAATACACATCATCAAGTAAAAAAGAGAAGGGTAAAAACTGGGTACATAGTTTATTGAGTAATTTCAGGTTTGAAGTAGGAGGAAATGAGCATTGGATACCAACAGGGAGCCTGCAGAACACAAGAAAAAGGAAGGAATCTAATACGTAGATTCAAGAAATTGTTGAGTAGTAACACCAGAAAACCACCACACAGTAATTCTGAATCTGCATTTGTTTAATCCCACAATTATTTAATGACCCACCGACCTTGTTCGTAGAAATATTGGAATCCCTGTCACGTTAGTTTCCCATTTTCTATGCCCACACAATTCTTCTTCAGAAGATTATTTTAAATAATGATTTTGAAATACTATGATTAAAGAAAACCTCACTTAATTAGCTTGCTGCCTCAAGTTTTAGTGGAGCTATAAATGATGGGAGTTACTTATTGACCTTTTTGATTTGAACTAGTCAATTATAGATAACCTAGACTGATTTACCTTAATATAGTCTTTTACCGATTAAGATTACAAGACGAACTTTACTCAAAACACATCTTCGAATAGCAACTGTGAATTTTTCTTTAAATGGTGTATGGGTGTGGTAAAATGATAAGATGGTTGCATGGAATACCATACTGATCTCCATAAAAGCTGATCTGATGATGGATCTCCAAACGAGGTTCAAGAACCCTATGAACAAAGAGAAGGAAAAAAAATGGAATCCCATAGTTTGATGACAAGTAGTATAGAGGGTAAAATAATATAATATCAAAACACACCAGACAGTTAGATGTCAGTAAGAACATGTGATGCTGCCATGCCACACCCACACACTCCAAACACTCGTCAATCCTAACATATAATATACAAACATAAACGTGTAGTCTCACTATCGTCCCGTCAGTTCAAACTTTTAACTGAAACCAAACACAGTCCCGTTAATTCAAACTTTTAGCTAAAACGAAACACAGCCCCGTCCCGACCTTTTCACCCCATTCTCCTCATTTACTATAAATACCACCCTATACCTCACCTTGCCACTGTCTAGTCTCATCAACCAATTCAACACCCTTTCTCTCTCTCTCTCTCTCTCTCTCTCTCTTTCTTAGCTTAGGTGTTCATCAATGGAGTATTACATGGACGAGAAATGGAAGCTGTCGAGGGATGATCCATACAGCCATTCATATTCGAGCTCGAGCAATCCGACATTAATGAGGAGCTTCTCTCAAGCAAGCCCTTCAACTTCAAACCATCCTCTTCCCAGGAGCTTTTCGCAGAAGAATCCTTCTTCTTCTTCGAAATCTCGATTCTCGAAAAGCTCGTCCCAGTTCACGCGCAAGTGCAGCAACTTGGCCAAGGAGCAGAAGGCGAAGTTCTACATCGTCAAGCGATGCATCGGCATGCTTGTGCGCTGGAATAAGCACCGAGACGATTCTTGAAAAAGGGAGGGTTAATTTCCGCCATGGATGAACCTGCAGACAAGTTTTGATGAGGAGATCGGAGAGATCAGATCATATGCACCATATATCTATCTTACATGTTGTCTCTCTCTCTCTCTCTATGATCTGTGTATTTGAATTAGAATGTAATTTGAATCAGAAATGTGATATATATCATATATAGATTTTTAATGGGATCTGTCTTTTGCTGAATATGATCTGAATTGCATATCATATGCTACTGTGTTTAGAAAGTAGAATGTTCAGTAAGTACTCTCTCTCTCTTTCTCTCTCTCTATAATATTCAGTTCTTGTTGATTATGGGGTGGAAAGATTCCTTCTTGGAATTGGAATTCTCAATTAAGTATATAGTGAATATTATATCCACCTTGGGAATACAAACTGTTGTCCCCTTTCACATAGTAAAAAATGGGGATCTGCAAACTAAACATTAACCTTAAACCCAACTTCCACCATCATGGAATTGAATGCCCTGTTGGGTAAAAACCAATACGCGGTAGTTCAAGTGAAAGAGGTTAGAATTTATTACGTTTGACAAATGACCGGCTTTCTTCTCACAAAAGGTTGAATCTCCAATTCTAGTCTGACGGAGCATTAGTGACTCAATGACTAAGTAGATATGGTCAAATGTATGTGCGAACAAGGAATTATATTCAAAGTGAGCATAATCCTCACATTGTCCTACTGAGGTTCAAACATTGATCTCTTCTTCCATATACTGCCTACTGAACTAGTGAGTTAAGCCCGTGCAAACAAATGACAGACCTTTTAAGAAAGATTTGTGCAATACGTGTATCTACAAAAACCAACACTTTGCTCCTTAATTGGGCTGGGCCGGTGCGAATAGGGATTAGTCTGTATATAGTACGGGTTTAAAGGTGTCTCCTACAATTAAAGTATGCTCAGAACACCTTATGGTCTGACCAAAAAAATGAAATTCTCTCACCACCGTCCTTACACAGGATGGCATTGGGGTAAATTAGGGTGATTCATTGGTGCATAAAGTGGAGTACCTGGTGAACACAAGGAGCCTGTCACATTAGGTGAACTGAAACTCTCACACTGCGACTACCAGAGCTTAATATTATGTCCTTGTTCATAATCTATAACGTAGGAATCAACTGAACTATCTGTATAGGCAATGAGCACAGTTTTTTATGAAGAAAATTTTAACTTTGAAGTGTGGCAGATCAAAAGATGAACATCATATTATAGAACTTTCACCTGGGATATTAGCACTACAGCCTCAAAAAGAGTACACATTGGAAAGAAAACCTCTGGTCTGGCCTGAATAGGATGCAACAGAACAAAAGTTATAATGAAGTGTCACTGATAATTACTGCAAAACTCCCAGATCAGATCAGCAAATATGATAGCCAGGAACTCTGTTCTGTTCTTGAGCATGTAAGTTGCTGCCAAAGTGCTCACAAGTCAGCAAGCAATGAGTGGCTCATATACTCCACACTAGCCTATAAGCTCTGCAGGCACAACCTACCTACCTAGCTACATCTTGAAAACCCCATACTTGGGGGTATGTTCCAAAAAGGTATTCCAAGGTTTTCATTGCTCTTGTCCTATAATTTTAGTGTAGGAAGTAAATTGCGGGATGAGGATAATGTTGATCATGTTAATCGAAATTGTTGATTTGATAATTATAAAATTTCAAGTTTAACTCCTTGTCTAAATCTACCTAGTTTTAGAGATTCGCTTGTGCGCATGAATTTACAATTTTTTCATGTGATTTTCTTGTATTAACTTTTTGGGGATTTTTGGAGTATAAGACTTTGTTATGATAAAACACTTACCACTATTCCAAAAGTTATAGCTTGACAGCTTGTAGCGAATATGCAACTTTATTTTATACCACCACACATTTGGACTTTGCCCTTTACCGGCCTCCGCTCAACAATCCCGTCCTCAGTCACATGGTGCTAGATTTGGCCCTTATCGACCTCCGCCCAACCATCTTCAATCCCTAGCTAGCCACATGGTGCTGGACTTGGCCCTTATTGGCCTCCGCAATCCCCCTAACCACATGGTGTTGGACTTGACCCTTACCCGCCTCCACCAACAGGCTTGTTCTGTAATTCGTTTTGATTTGGGAGGTACATATCTCTAAAGTCGGGACAATGTTCTGAAATGAGTTAATACCCAAAATTGTTCTCGACTATAGTGATTTTTCTCAATTTTGTCATAAATGACTTTGATGACCTAATGTAGTCTTAGACTTTTGTGTTTTTGCTTAATGTAGTCATCCGTTTGTTATTTTGTCAAATTTGTGTTAAATATAGATAAACAATTCAGTCATTTCAATATTAGTATCTCTTTTAATTTATTTATAATTATTAAATAAATCACTCATCTTTTATGAATTGTCCCAGTAATTTCAATAGAACTCTTTTACGTTTACGAATTGTCCCAGTAATTTCAATATTTACTAATTACTGGGACAATTCGTAAAAGAGGGGTGATTTATTTAACCATTATAAAAAAATTGAAAGAAATGTCAATATTGAAATTAATGAATTGTCCATCTATTTAACAGCAATTTGACGTAACAAACGGAGGATTACATTGAGCAAAAACACAAAATATGAGACTACATTAAGTCACCAGAGTTGTTTAAGACGAAATTGAGAAAAATCTCTATAGTTGAGGACTATTTTAAGTATTGGGTGGTGTTTGATTTATTGAGACCTTGAGTAGGTCTAAGTTGTTTCAAATTTTTATTATTCTCAGTAAGGACGTTTATCATATAAAAAGAAGCCCAAAAAAAACAGTGAAATAAAATAACAAAAAAAAAAATCAAGAACATCGACACAAAATAAAATAAAATAAAGTATAAATTATAGGAGTGTCTGGTCTATTGACCTTCTAGATTTGAGTCGATCAACTATGAATAATTTAGACTGATTTACTCTTTTGTATACTTTATCGATTAGGTTATAAGACATGATTTACTTAGTGTACACCGCTGACGGCAGATTTTCCTAATCACCCAACAAAGGAAAGATACCTTTATTATAGAACTAACTAGCATTCGTAAAACGATATCCCTTTTAAGATAACCTAGGTCGACATTAATGTAGGAGCTGTGATCACTCATTACACAACATTGGAAGGAAACATATAGGGGATCTTTTTCATCATGTTACAACGTAGTCTAGTCCGTTCCCTGAACGTACAGGAGGGCCGGTAAAACGTGCTACTATACATAGCTGCGCTGGCCGGAAAAAGACAAATTAAACTGCTTCACCTTAATTCAATTCGAAGGTGCTTATGATGAGTTGGAAAAAGTAACACCACGTTCCGCCAATCCGCCCGCTGTCATTTCACGTTGCCTCCTGTCAACCCAATTAGGCCCCCATTCAACCATCCAGCTAGCTCCACTTATGCGTCTTCTCCATTCATCTCACCCCCCACGCCATTTTTGCAAGCTCAGCTCATAAAGATCCAGAGATTCAAGAAGAATGGGGATTTGGGTTCTGCAATGGAGATTAATTGATTTCTTCAATTCTGCAGCGAAACAGGATCCGAGGCAGGCAACAGCTAGCTAGCTAGCGCAGGGGTGATGTTACGCCAGGACCCAGCGATCCAGAAATAATATCATTTCGCTATTGCTCAATTATTTTGCACCAACTTGTGTTGCATTCACAAGTAGCTAATGGGTGGGGGATTGAAAAGGGCATGCATGGGAGGCCCGGTTGTCCCGAGCCCCCAAATGGGGTCTGGGCGAGGCGAGGCTGGATTAGTCGTTGGTTTGGATATTGGTACAGTATGTTTAAAGAATGAACTGATCGATATAGTTCAATAGCCCTTAATGTAAGTGGTTATTGGGAAATGTGTTGATTAACACGAATCAAGAATGAAACAAATGATTAGAGCTTGTCTAGAGCTATTGAAGTTGGAATTAATTTGCTCTTTTCAACATATACACAAGAAAACTAATAGATCGATATCATGTTAGATTTGATGGTCTATAAATTTGCATGGGCTTTAAGTTTTCTGATTCCCCACAAGAAGGATTCTAACAAGTTAATTGGGGCCTCTTCTATGCACTTTATCTAGTTTGGTTGTGTTTTTCTAGTTGAATTATAAAAAAGTTAGAGAAATGCATATAATGTATGATAAGTAATTTTCAGATAAATTAAAGGGAAAATGACACTTTTCCCCCTGAGTTATATACTTATAGTATTTTTCCCCCCTAAGTTATTGAAGTGGCTGTTTTTCCCCTGAAATGTTAAATGGACATATTTACCCTTAAACTAAATATTTAATTTATTTTTTTCTCCAACAAATTATGACCATAATTTGGTTCAAACTAAACAAACACTATAGCAACCAAACTGAAATATTCCAATTACAATTTAGAATCGAAATTCGATATTTAGAGTTTATTAAAATCGTGAACCGGAACGGACGGTTCATGTTCCGAACTGAAAAAATAAAATACATTTATTGTTGAATTTAGACTATTTTAAAATAAAAAATAAAATTTTAAAATAAAGACGGTTCAAAACCGCGAATCAGATCCGGAACCGCCGGTTCACGGTTCAAGATTCAATTTTTTTGATACATAATTTTAATAAATTGACATTTAAATATTGGGTTCTAGATCTGAATTATAACCGTAAACTATTAATTCGATTGCTTTAGTATCCGGTTCAATTCAAATCGAACCGTGGTCATCCCTACGTATACGCAATAATTTGTTGGAGTAGTAAAATAAATAAAATGTTTACTTTAAGGGTATAAATGTCAATTTAATATATCAGAGGGGAAAAAGCACCACTTTTAGAATAATTGAGGGGACTAATGTGCTTACCTAAATAATTGAGGGGGCAAAAGTGCTATAAGTATATAACTCAGGGGTAAAAATTGCCATTTTCCCTAAATTAAATGCATATAATGTATGATATAGTAATTCAGAGAAATGCATTATTTGTTGCAGGCTGTCAACCAGAGAGTAAATTTAATAAGTAAAAAAAAAAAAAAAAAAAAAAAAAAAAAAAAGTGATCAAAACTGTGTTTGTTTGGGTCCGTTTGTTTGTGTATGAGAGAATTGAAAGGTATGGAATTCGATATTATTAACTGGTTTGTTTGATCTGAACTCAAAATAAATGTATGTGTATGTAATAAAGTTCTTGAAAAGGTTATAATAGGACATGAGTACATGACTAAGGTTTGATTAGTGATGGACTAATTGATCCAAGATATGCTATTGGATCAATAACTTCTCATAAAATATATGTGGTAAGATAGTAAAAGAGATAATTGTAGTAATAGTGCTATTGAGTGGATGAATGTAAGAATGCTACAAAGA